AACGCCAAACCTTCACGCCGTCTTTCGAACAATTACAAAAACAAGCTGGAAATGCAGAGCTCGGATGACAGCCATGTGGCAATGGTGCACATAAATAGCTTGCCGGCAGCAATCTTGAGAACACATGCTTGGTGGCCTATTAGTTTGCGCCGGGCTCAGTGCAATGAGAGGTTGCTGTTTCGACACCCTGCGGGAAAACATTGTTTCCAGTTTTTTTTGCAGTTTGTTAGTATATTGTCACGGTAATAATAAAATAAGTAGCAGTGCACCAAACAGCCGAACAGCTCCAATCAAGCAGCACGACTTTGTCGTTGTTGTCCACCAGCGAAAATCGTGCGCAAAGCATAAGTAATGGCGAAACCAGCCTCGCCACAGCCAGATACCCACAACATGCCCACGCCATTACTACCCCTATGCAAAAGCATCGACCTGATGCTCTCGAATGTGTGAAGGCAAGTGCAAGTTTTTCGCGTAAGTATTAAGACTTGATCCTGGCCACTTGGACGATGTCCGGCGGTGCTGCACGACGGGAGCACCACGCGCCGGGCTCTGCGATAACTTTGTTAGTTGACATTGCTGAGTCGTTCAAGAACCCGATAAGGGCCGGAATAACGACGCATCCGAGCGGCCGTGTTGGCGTACAGGACTCGAGCTTAATATTTTTTTACAGGTGGGTAGGCGACTTCTCTGTGGCGAAGGTTGTACCTGTGAGCATCGTATTGTAGCTGAGAGCGAATGTGCAAGAAAGATCATTATCGAGCTTCTTTGACGCACTGCGCATACTGATTAGCATTCGCGGTGGTGGTCGTAAAGGCGTAATGTAAAAGCATGGAGTCTATCATTGTAGTAACAGTCGAGGCCGTGAAGCAGGCTGAAAGGTGTAAATCTTGTAGTGTCTTTCACGGCGGTGTAAAATGCGAAAGTTATGACAGGAAAGAAACTGTGCCAGTTCCTATTGTCCACGTCGACATACATGAAAAGCTTGTCTGTGATGGTACTATTGAGCCGTTCGCTTGCTGATGGTATGCTGTCTTCCGGCGCTGTACGGCGCTGCTCAGTGCCGTGATTTCATGCAGTAGCTGCGTGGCGAAGGCCCTGCCCCTGTTGGTAAAAATTAGGGCCCGTGCACCATAGCGGATGACGACAACATGAATGAAGAAGTATGCGACACCACTTGCTGTACCCCGTTGGAGTGTTCGTGTTTTGCAATAACGAGCTAAATATTCCGTCGCAGATATTGTAGAGCGATTATCCACTGAACATTACGGAAATGGACCTAGCAGGTTCATGCCAACTTGTTAAAACGGTGCTTCTCAAGATAGCTCCACCGGGTGCAAAAAACTAGCAGGTTTCGTGGGCAGAGTCTTGCGGCGCTGGCAGTCTCGGCAGATTTTTACGTAGTGTTTGACGGTACGGGACTATTTGGGCCGGAAGTGCTTGTGGCGTATACGAGCCACACACACAAAGTGGTTATAAGAGAGAAAGGAACAGAAAAGTGAGCCCCGTAACTGTCTGCTTCACGGTGCGGCACCTCAACAGTAGCTCACAAGGAATAGGGGTGAGGAGGGATTAAAATAATAAGAGTGAATGTATAGAAAGAGAGAAAGATGCGCTAAGCCAGCGAGCGAGGACATATCCGAGGGGATAAGAAAGATAGGAAAGATGGGAACACGGTCACAAGAGTCCGAGGACGGGGCAATACTTGCGAGAACTCTTGTCGGCGTCAGGAGATGGCATACGGCCAATCCGGTAGGTCAATGCTGCGCTGTCGTCGAAGGTCGGCGTCAGGATATGACGTAGGGCCAGCCCAGTCGGCCAGAGCTACGCTTGATGTCGGAGATTGCGAGGGCACAACCGGTCGGCACGGAATCCGGCGAGCGAGTCATACGAGCTAGAGTACGCGTGAACCCATAATGCCCGGCAGATGGTTCGTCATGGCACGCATTGAGTATCTCGTCTGATGGAAAGTGAGATTGAGCAGGGCAGTTCGAGCTTAGGAGGAAAGCTCCGCTTGTGCAGGATCTCTTCACGGAGAAAAAATGATGAAATCATGCGCCTGCATGTTTACGGTGGCTGTTCAAGCTTGTCCTCGTCGTTGAGCGGGTGAAGTTCTAGGTCATCACGTTGTTTCTCAGCCAAGTCGGAGGCTGTGACGATAATGAGGAAAGTTTCATCGTCAGTTTGATCAGGAGGAACCGACTCAACCGGGGCACGTGATAGGCAGTCAGCATCGCTGTGCTTGCGTCCCGACTTATAAACCTTCATAGTATCCAATTCTTGTAGGCGGATACTTCAATAGGCTAGGTGTCCTCAGGCGTCATTGAGGCCTGCAAGCAAGCGTAAAGAATGGTAATCGGTGCCTATTTTGAATGGTTGCCCAAGCAAATATGGTAGAAACTTGGCTATGGTCCCCACGACAGCTATATATAGTCGTTCTTCTTTTTTTTGGGGGGGGGGGGGGGCGGCGGAATAGTTCGCTTCAGCCTGTGATAACGTTAACGTACGACTAGCGAAGGCAATCACTCGCTCGATACGTTCTTGCCATTGCGCAACTCGACTCCGGGACCTACGTTACTCGTATTTGTGTGCTCTTCGGTGTCAGCATTTTCGTCGAAGTGATCTTAAGACTGGAGGAGTCTCGAGGTGTCGTTATAGCTCGCAAGAAGCTTCGTGTTATTCTGGGTCCCACACAAAAGCGACGTCGTATCTTGTGAGGTGGTGTAAGGGCTATTTTCCAAAAGGTTTTGGACGAAGCGACGATAGTATGCATCAAGCGCAAGAGAACAACGTACATCGTGTTTTGTCGTTACAGTTGCAAAGGCAGCGGCTGCCCGCTTCTTGTTGCCGAAGTGGTATTTTTCGGGCTTGGGTGACAGGCTAGCTGTTCGGAGTACGTCAAGAATTGTACTGAAGACGCTGTAGGTGGTCCTGGAATGTCGTTGAAAAAACGACGACATCATCTAAAAACAGAAGACATAATTGCCCTTTCAAACCGAATAAAACTGTGTCTATCCTGCATTGAAAAGACGCGGGAGCAGAGAAAAGCCCAAAAGGAAGCACCTTGAATTTCAAGAGCTCGTTGGGAGTTATGATTGTGGTTTTTTCCCGGTTTGTTGGCCTCAATTTGAGGTTCGTTGGCCTCAATTTCACAATAACCACCGCGTACACCAATGGATGTAAATTATGAAGTGTTTCGAATGCGGTCGCGCTAGTCATCGATTCGAGAAAGCAGATAGGCGTCCTTTTAAGTCACGTCGTTCAGTTTGCGATAATAAACAAAAAACGCAATGTGCCGTTTTTCTTTCTGATCTACACAACCGGTGGGGCCCATGGGCTAGTAAATGGTTGAATAATGTCGTCAGCAAGCATTTGTTGCACTCGGTCATGAATGGCGTGTTGTTTTGTGTGACGAAATACAATAAGCATGTTGTTCGTTTGGTCTTTCGTTGGAATCACTTATGATTCTGTGCTTCTCAACGGGCGTCTGTTTCATTTTGTACGTCGTGGCAAAGTAATCACTGAAGGAAAGCAGCAGGGACCGAAGAAGTTTTGCTGTGAAGTTGATAGTTTGCACTTCACATCAATCTTAACCAAACACCATTTGTTGTCGAGGACTGGAAGAGAGTTGCGCAAGTGATGAGCTGGCTCTTGAGCCACCGATTTTTCGAAGCGACGACACACTGCCTCTTGAAGTGTTGGTATTTATTTATTATTTATTTATTCATTTATATACAAATACCTCACAGGCCTCACAGAGGTATTGTGTAAGGGGGGGCAACATGAATTAAAAACATTTTAGAATGACATGAAAAATAAAGTTAGTACATTGAAGTAAAAACAATGTAGAATAACATAAAAACAAGTAATGACGAGTATAACAGAATGATTTCTACTATAAAACTTATCCACTTCCTAGTCTATTCATTTCTTCTAACATAATCTAGTTGTTTTAGTGAAATAATTTACAATACAACAATACTTGAAAACAACAGTATCACTTTACTGATGAAATAAAAATTAAAAAGAAAAGTAAACGGGGGTAGCGAAACACATGACAGAAAATGAACCTGCTAAGATTTATCAGTGAAATGGATCATGAGATGCTCGCGAAATGTGCTGTGGTTATGCGGAAGGACGATGGTATGGGAAAAATTGATCCACAGTCGCATGGCACGCGAGAGGGAGTTAGAAGCGTTATTAGAGAGTTATAGTATACCGGGCTTACCGTGATACACGGGCGTACCGTGATACAGGAATCGAAGTGCGCATGCACAGATACGTACCATACGCGTACCGCTTACCGTACGTGCGGTACTTTTCAGATTTAAGGTAGCGTAGGTGCACGTAGTGTACGTAAACATGGCGGCACTCTCGGACGACCGCTTCGAATTCATTTTGGCGTAGTTGGTGAAAGATTCACCTTGTTTGTAGCAAACGACTGTCTAAAGTGGCTTCGCTTGCCTTCAGTTAGCTTCGACGACCAAATATTACGAATAAGTTGGCGTAGTTTTTGAGATCGCTTCCCATTTTGAACGTGTCTAGGCTTAACTGGAACATTGATGTAAACAAAAATGCAAGGTAAAATTTTTCATTTCTGGGGCGCAGTTCATAATTATTTACACCTATTTTTAAATAGTAGGAATATCGGTGCACGTGTGAATAGAAGTGGGCACATTGGCTTTATTTTTCCTCGTCTTTTTTGTTTCTGAATGCATTCTTCTTTCGCGTGGTGACGCCGGCCCCGGCGTACGTCAGAAAAACAGCTGCTTATCGCTGCACTGGTAGTGGAGTGGAGGCAGTTGAAGCAAACACAAAGGAAAAACGTGCTGCGAACATGAGTGTCGCAAAACAGGGAAGCCCGCATGCGAAATTCAGTGTGTGTGACGACTTAAATTTATTAAGAGAAGTCACACACCTGAACCTGTTTCGCGATCCACTACTTTGGAACGCAGTCACAAAAAAATTGGCACGCGTTCTCGGGAAAGCAGTTCACCGCACGCACCGTCAAAGAGCACTGCGAGAGACTCATGGCACAGCACATCAGCGATGACAGAGCGAATCTTCGCAAGTAAGTAATTTTTACAGCGAGTCGTACATAATCCCGTAACGCGCCGCTCAGTAGTGTATGTATATATATATATATATATATATATATATATATATGTGTGTGTGTGTGTGTGTGTGTGTGTGTGTGTGTGTGTGTGTGTGTGTGTGTGTATTTTTGTCAGATCGGGAACCGAGGAGAACTACGACGAAAAAGCCCAGCTGCTTCATGAGCTGGTTACACTGGCTAAAAATTTTCATTATAGAATAAGGCCAGTGCCGAGGCGATTCCCGGCGATGCAGCGTGCTGCGGCTGATGTACGCGACGCCGCTCTTTCCTCCTACGAGCTGTCACAGGCTTCACTGTCGGCAACAGAAGACAGCCGTAAGTATCTGTTTTTTCACTTAAGCGATACCTTAACCCACTCACCAGTGCTTTGTGCGCTAGTTATCATACGTTAAGCACCAGTTGAAAAGAGTCGACGTGCCAGTGTCTTCTAACAGAAGTTACTGTTTGTGCTTACCTATATATTTAGCACATACAGTAACTTTACCCCTAACAAAGTGCACCTAGAAGCAATAACGAACCCTGGCTTGCGTATGTGTGCCTTTTGTATACTCCGGTCGGGGCAGTACGCCCAATTGACTTTGCAATGTATCACCAGTCATATATTTACCAGATTCTGAGAAGTCGACTGAACTTCTGAACAATTCTCTTTAGCTCATAACATCGTGAGCAATCACATATATCGCATTATATTTTTCAGCAAGCCAAGCAGCGGTGTTGCTGGAGGGTAAGTATCTGCCAGCATTATGCAAGATGACGATGTGCCACCGCTGTCATCCAGCCCTGCAGCTAGCCAGGATAACCATAGAGAGCCAGAGGGACACACTCGGCCATGCCGCATACTTCTGTGACAACAAGAACAGAGCCGCTCAGAGGTACATATTTTTTGCAACCTCAATATATTGACGATAGTTATAGCGGGAGAACAGAATGACGACAAAAAGGCAAGAAGGACACCAGCGCTGCATGTCCTTCTTGCCACTTTGTCGTCGTTCTGTTCTCACGTTATAACTATAATCATGTCATACCAACTAGCCCAAACTGCCACACTTAATATAGTATTTCTGAAAACTGTCTAGTGCAAACGAGACGGACCACAAAGAGGACATAAACAAAGGTTGTCTAGCTAACAACTGAAGTTTACTGAGGAAAATTTCAACCAGCTTGAAAACCAAAACTGCATGCGCCGAAATTACCTGTTATCAAAGAACTTGTATAACTTACTTAGTTCACAATCTAAAAGGCAGACTCACGAAAATGTACTTCATTCAGGATGCGGGAGATTGCATATCAGAGCTGTCTGTCTTTTAGATTGTGAACTAAATAAGTTTTATGATTTCTTTGATAACAGGTAAGTTCTGCACATGCATGTTTGGTTATTAAGATAGTTAAAATTTCCTTCATTGAACTTCAGTAGTTAGTAGGACAGTGCTTGTTTGTGTCCTCTTCTTCGGGCTCCGTCTCATTTCGTACTGAACAGTTGTCAAGAATGCATAAATTCTAACTAGGTCACCCCTATATTTTACTAATAATGTATATTCATAATTTATAGTATCAGGAACAAGACAGAGAACAAGAGACAGCACCCTTTTGTCGGGCAAGCTGTTCCTGTTCTGTTATTTTCTTTCTCTGCCTCGCCCAAGCTCGTACACCCGAAGCCCGGTCCCGCCCTTCGTCATCACATTAGAGTAATAAGCTTGGCAGAGTTTTCTAGTGCAGCATTGACGTCCTTTGCTTATGTGTGCTTGGCAGGACCATTACATAGCATTCAGATCAGTATTAAACATAAACAGTCAGTACATGTTGCTGTCTGTGTACGTTTACGTACATGAAAATTGGAAAGGATAGTGATTGCAGGAGGGAGATAGCTTAGGCACTGATATATATTGCTGCATATCATTTATCAGGTGTGTAAGTTAAGCAGTAAGGCGGTAGGTCACCGTAGGTGTTCCAACAGACAAAACCTGCTGCAACCACCTACATTCTTGAAAAAATTTTCATTAATCACGTGTGCGAGCCAAGACAGTGCTCTTGGGGTCGTTTGGTGAAAAAGACTGAATGTGTTTGCATAATGCATTAATGCTAACACTGTGTTTTGGACTGATCCTTTTAGCATACTGGCAATGGCAAGTGTTATGTAATTGATATGTACTGGCTTTTGTTGTCCCTGTACCAAAGTTTCACAACAACTCTGTGCGTTGTAAATGTATTGAAACGCTGCAGTACAACTGCTGCAGCTTAGAGACAAATATTCGTGTTTCAAACTGTTTTCTTAGTAATTGCTCCAAGAGATTGCTATGCTGCTCCAATTCAACGTTTTACCTGCTCCAGCAGCTGTGCCGAAATACCTTCGGTCAATCCCATCACAGTTTGGTGTCAAGGCAGTAGCACTGAGCAAATACATAAGCTTGCGAAAGCACCACAGTAAATATATGGCCTTCACATGTGTTATCATGTGACTGCACAGAAATCATGTTCAACTAATAGGGCAGTTTCACTCTCTGCGATTGCGGGCTGATACTTAGTACACAGAGTCAAAATTTTATTGATGTGTTCAATGACGGAAAGTAAGAAGTAAGATGCACTGTATGTGTAACTTATGCACAGTGTGATGCAGCATTGCTGGTAAACTTGACTACATGTGATATAAGCTTGAATAAAACATGCTAGCAAAGTCCCTGCAAAGTAAAGAAAAAGAAGGGGAGATTTTGAGTGGTACTGTCTTCCAATACATTTTGACTGATCTTGGATCAATTGTATTAATTGTTGATCACCTGGTGAAAGAATTCAGTGTAATTTGGCATGCAGTTACAAACGTCGAATACATGATTCCTCCAAGGTGGGAGTTAGAATCCGTTCCAAGCTTTGTGTGTGTTTGCAATTACTGATACAAAACTGAAGATTAATGATTATCCTGCTTTACACTGTGCTACACTAGGGTAAAGCAGCTAAATCTTAGCTTGCAAATACATTTAATGCTATAATTGTAATATGCCTAGACTGGGTATATGGAGTGAATGTATTTTCATGAACATTGCGCTCAACTGTAAAACGCGGCACCCATCAAATCATCTGCATGATAGGTACACACGGCAGTGGGCAGCCTAACTTTTTTTGGTTTCCTTCTTTGAGGAAATATTGCTGCGGCTCGCACTCATAGTTCGTCACTCTCATCTCGCCCTGCGACCTTTTGATCAACCACTAGAAATAAATTGCTGTTGTGTTTTTAGAAATATTTCGGAATCATACCGAAAGGTCACCTGTGGAAGTGCAGTGGGATTTTTTCCTTCATAATAAAATTCTAAATATAATGTTTATTCTATGCTACCACCCTGTCACTCGTGTGCTGACTATTACATTAAAGATAAAGCCAGTTATTTTGCAAAATAAATTTGTCAGTACAGTTGAGCCACTTTATATGACAAGGGCACTGGGATGCAGTATTGGGCTTCTTATGATGTGTTTTTTATTCCCATTTGTGTGTTACATAAGTGTTGCTTATAGAGGCGTTTGTATTTTTTGCAATGATTTTCTATTGAAGCGGTCAGATTTTTCATGCACAGTCTAGTTGCACTGGCAAATTAAAAAATGCGATTGCATCAGCTAAATTCTCAGCAGAGCAGAATAATGAGCAACTCCTGCACGTTTTTGTTTTCATTCCAGCTAAGCGAAAGCAAGACGCTGCAGACATGGAGTTCCTGGAAAAAAAAATGAAACATGATGCAGCGATGAAAGAAAGAGAGTTGGAGCTGGAATTGCGCCGCCTACAGCTTGAAGAAAGCAGGCTACAGCTTGAACGGGAAAAGCTGCTCACTGAAAAGGCTGTGAAAGAGAGCCAGCGAAAGCAGCAAGAAAGCTTCATGAATTTTATGGAAGCCATTGTAAATAAAATCACAAAATAAAACTTTTTATGAGCTTTGAGTGCAATGGCAGTGACTTCTTTTTTTTTTACATTGTCAGCATGGGGCACATGCAGCCAACCCTCATTTTAGAGAGGGGGACGTGACTTGAGGTGAAACTGAAGAGTGAAGTCAACAAAGGGGGATCCTGAACCTTCTTTTTATTAGTTACTATTATAACAATCTTTACTATCAAGACCAGACAGAGGCCATGAACCTCATCAAGCCTTGCTGGCTTTTGTTTATAGTCCTCAACATTGTACAATGGTTGAGATAAAATTTGATTATGAGAACTACATCATAGCCTAAATACTTTAAATTTGTGCTCAGAGCGGTCCTATAATTTGTCATAGTGAGTGGTTAGGGGTGAACAGGTGCTGAAGGGAGGGCACACAGGTTTTAGGGAAGGAGATTGCTCCAAGTGCTCTCTCCCTATTGTATTCGCCACTGGTGCCAACGAATGCCAAGTTGCACTTATAAAAGTAACCAGCAGAAAGGGTGCAGCATGCAAAAATGAAATCAAGTATTTATAAAGTAACAGTGCGAAAAATTGCAGATAAACACAGGCAAATGAATGCCGCTTGTCTTTGTTTGTTAATATAGAGACAAATGACCGATTTCACTGATGTACCACAAAATGAAAAGCCTGGCTATTTATGTTCTCAAGTTCCATTTTTTTTACATTGTCAGCTGCACAAAAGCCTGGCTATTTATGTTCTCAAGTTCCATTTTTTCACATTGTCAGCTGCACACCTCTTTATGCAGCGCTTTAACAACTTCTGTGGCAAAGCTAGAAATATGTGCCGCACATTAGTTCAGAATCTGGTGATATGTCTTAAATGCATAATTATTAAGATTATCCACTTGATTGATACAGCCAAGACTGTTATAATGTGGCATGTATAGGTAGCTCATATACAATAAAGCTCCATGGTAAGCATGCACTGAACGTGATGGAAAAGCAGAGAACTAAAGATGGCTCAGCATTTCATGAAAACAAACCATACTGGCAGCACACCAGAGACATTGACAACAGACAAGGTTACTCAAACCATATTTTACTTAAGACAATGAGCTGTCTCATGCCTAACAGCTCATCTGTACATGAGGTTACCACCTGTCTGGCTTTAGACTGCCTCAGCTTTTTTTTTAAAACAGCGCGCCGGTTGGCGGTCTGCACCCGCCGTAGTGATCAGTTTTTTTTCAGAGCCATATACGAAGCATAATTATAATCATGGGTTTTTTTATGCCAGAAATTAGACTAGTAGGTCAGATAACTAAAACTAAAAAAATGACCTTCCTATTAACATGCAGACTACAGTCAGGCCTCAAAGTAACCTTGGCTCTTCAGCAAACCTAATAAAACAGACCAAACTTTCTGAAGAGCAATATAAACAAAGATCAGAAACATTTAAGGCAAACAAAAGCATTTTAACAATGTATGTTAGGAACAAAGTTCACTTATACAGTACAGTGAGTGCAACACAAAAATTCGCTAAGGGGTGAACATTTATGAATAGTGCTGATACAATGCCAGAATAGCCCCTTCAGAGGCAGTGGCTACTTTGGGCATGCAACTTGTTTATGTAGGTTGCTTGAACTTGTTGCCAAAAGAGAGATACTTTGCTTGTTAGATGAATTGAACTCTCTACATAGTCGATATGTCAGGTACACATGTCAGTATGTATGTGTATGACTGAAGCCTATTGTTTTGGTGAAAGCACAACAATGTTCGATGAGTTGTGAAATGTTCCCAGACCAACGTCAGAAGTATTGCTTTTTTTATAAAACTGAATGCAACCGAGAATTAATTGCATAAGCATTTAGAGCCTACAATCTCGCTCTTTTCATGCTAATATTAAACATATCTGACTGCAGTGTAACAAAATATTTCTTTACATGCACATTAGAATTACTGAAATTTCATCAAAACAACACATTACTATGTTTTCTCTCTTGGAATCTACTACTGAATGCCTTAATGTTATGGTTTGTTCATTTGACACATTCGTAGATAGTACATTACAATTCGATCCCGAATGAGAAAGCTACAAAAATAAATAAATGAAAAGGTATAAAAGTTCCAAGTTGATCATGCTTCCAAGCTTTTAAGCTGACACATAGCTTAGAAAGGAAGCTGTACATTGGCTTTGAGGCTCTTTTCAACTCTGAGGCTGCAAGTACTCGATCAGTAGTGGTGGCTGCACATCGAAATAACTTGAGACTTGGCTGCCATACAGGCAAGTGTGGCAGTTGCTCAAAATAGTCGCCGCTCTATACATTTGAGAAACCTGCTACTGCACCAGCTTCTGTTTTTTTAAATCTAAGAAGGCAAACATTCAGGCAACTTTTCCGAAACTGCCATATGCCCTGTAGCACAGGCTGTGGAAGTGGATGACGTGGGTATGGTAGAATACCCCATAAAAAAGCCTCCTCAAGTTGGAGTGAGAATAATCTCTTTGGGTAGCACAGTAGCCACTTGCCCAAGAGAGCTAGAACAGAGAGCAGAATCACTAATCGAAGAACAAAAAATGGAGTCTCAAGTTGCGTACTCACTCTATGATGACAAAAGCAGCCGAGATGACACTGATGAAAGTGTTGGTCATGCTGAACAGCATAGTGGACATACAGCTGAGCTGACAGAAAGGAAATCCGAAGAGAGTCTCATTTACCCCCTTCAGTGCTATTGGAGCAGTGATGAAGGAAACTTGTGCTCTTTGTCGTTGTAGTGGTTAAGAACGTTCGTCACTATGTTTGCTGATAGCGGACGAGAAAGAATTAACATGAATGTTTTATTTCATGGCATGGGTGGAACGGCTGACGGCGCACGGATACGCTACCGCGTGCAGCGCCGTTGAGTCGGACGTCGCGGCCAACCCAGCAGCCTGGGTCGCAACTCCGGAGGTCCAGGATCAGGCCACGGCTCACGACTGGCCACACCCGGTAGGCCTCGTCCACGAACCTGCTCCCGGCCACCGCACTCAGGCAGGGAGCCGTTCAGCAGGTCTCGGCCTTGGAGCTTGAACAGACACACCGGAGCTCGACCTGGCCAACACGTACGGGTCTCACGTCCGGCTCAGGAACGCTGCCAGGAACTCGTCCTCTCAAGCGGCACACCGCTTCCTCTGCCTTCGTGGCCTCAACCCTCGAGCTCTCTTTTCCGCACGTTCCTTCTTCTTGGCCAGGGCACCGCCAGGTACCCTCGGGTGCACACTGCAGCTGATGAGCTCGCGGTCCACGTCCGAGTCTGGCGCGTCGCTCGGTACGGCTCGGCACCAGCTCGGCGATCCTCGATTCAGCCAGAACTCCCCTGGCATCTGAATCCTCGGCCACCCTGAATCCTCGCCCGGCTCCGTGGTCCTCCGTACACACGCCCGCGTCTCGCCCGGCAGAACGTCTTGCTCGTCCCTTGCCGATGTGCGACGCTCTGGTGACACCAGCGCTTGATGGCATTGGTGCGGCTACGGAGCAGTCAACCCGCATCGGAGACGCAATGCGCCGTGCGGGGAATGGCCAGCCCGTCCAGTGAAGAGCGTGCGCCGAGACGCGATGCTCGACTCAACCGTGACCATTAGCCAAGCCACGTTCATCGCTGTGTCAGACGGCTGACCGTGGAGACGCCTCGCCGAGATCCGCGATGCCCTCGGCAAGGAAGAGAACAGCAGGCCAGGCCGCGCCCGAGATGCAGTACTCGTGCCGGCAATGCCGCCCCAGCTGGTAGTTGGACGGCAGTAGCGTGGACGGCCGCGTTCCCTGGCCGGAACCAGGATCGCCTGCGTCCGACGCTTCGGCCCGCTGTCTCCCGTCTGCCGCTGCTTCAGGCTCGTCCCCAGCCACAAAGCCCACTGCCACGTGATGGTCGCCCGTGGCCCAATCGTGGCACGCCACCTCTATGGGCCACCACTGGTCATCAGCTGATTCGCCGACACTCACGCGCACACTACACGCGCCTTGCCCCGCACTTCCGTCGTTGTCGTTTTCTTCACTCATCACAGTCGTCTTACACTGAGCAGGTCACTTCTTCTATGACGCCTGGACCATAAATGGCCTACGAGTGCAAGCTAGGCATTCATACCGTCTTTCAGACGTTGTGGTACTGGCGTGCTTGGAGGCAACCCATCGAACAGTATGGCAGACATTCCTGCGTTAGCGCTATCAATTGGGTGGTTGAGCACCTGATGTTTCATAGCTGTAGGTACAGGTGAGCCTGCCGTTGAAGGTTCTTTTATGGTCATTCCATTCTTGCCTCCAGTCAAGTGATCAAGGCTGTTCCGCGTCTTCTGTGGGACGCTATATCTTAAGTATCAAGTCGAAATTACCGGCGGCTTTTTTGGATCTCGATTGTGGAACACGAACGGGTATCTCTTGTATATAATTGAAAATATGTACCCGCATGCAATCTGCAGGGCGATATGATGTACAGTTTTCCATGACAGTGTGTATATGTACGAAATAGTGGTGTGTGCAAGAGGTTCATATTGGGTTCCAGAACTTCGAAGTCCCATTGAGTGTATTTAGTGTTTCCAAATGTGGACATTGAGACGATGTTTAGTGAAGTTTGTGGGGGAATCTATACATTGTGAATATGTGATATGGTGCCAAACGTGAACTTAAGAGCAGTTTTATTTTGTGAAAAAAAACTTAAATGAAATGGGGGCCTCTGTGATGGAGTGCTTCGGAATCGAAAGTGTTTGGAGTGCGCGAAACTTGAAACCAATCGAGGAAGCGGATTTGAAAGTGCCCGCCGTGAACCAAGTTTAAACTCGGCGATGAGGAAAAAGCTGGCACAGATGTGAACCAACAAATAATAAATGACTGAAGCGCCAGTTCAACGCAGTGATTGTTTGAAGCATGCACGAGACAGAGAAAAAAAAGTAGAGTCACTGTGGTGGCGAGAGTAATATGAGCCACGCATCAGGGCGCTCGGGTTTTGGACCCAGAGCCAAGGCTGCTACCTCCATCGTCCGGTGGCCTGAGAGGCTCCAGGACTACCAGGCTGTGCTGGTGTGTGCCCGTGGACAGGTCTGAGCTAATGATCTTCTGGCTCGAGCTCAGGCGAGGCTATCCGGCCGGGACTCTATCTCGAAGCCAGTGCGTGAAATGCAGCGTCAGCTTGTGCAGCGTCCACCGGCAGCCTAGGAAGGCTGCTTCTCTTATGGTCCGTGTGGCTGCCCAACCCCGATGCCAACTAAGGCGACGCCATCAACCCCGTGCTTCGCGCCCAGGCTCCTACACAACGACGTGGGTGAGATTCCACTCCTTTAACGTTCCGTGACGCACTCTGTGGACAGAAACTGCATGCTTGGGACCTTTTGTTTAGGGACTAGTGTGCAGCTTCTGTATTTCTTAGTGTCTGTATGCGAGAGGTGGGACTCACTATATTTTGGGTTAAGTGGTCTAAAGCTCTTACCAATAAATTTTTGCGTCGAATAAACTCGTCCTTCGGTAAGTGTCCTGAGGTGGCTCGTCGGACCTCCCAAATTTAACATGCACGTTGTGTGAAACAAAAGGAACCACAACGTTATTCTGGGGATGATAATTTTCTCGCGATTTTTATTACCCCTTTTGAAAAAGGGCACTGCCTTACCTATTTTCCAATCAGCGGGTAGTTTGCTGGTTGATAACTACTGTTTACGGATGTGAGGTAAGATGAAGCTGGAAAATATAAATCGTGTTTTTTCAGTACTTTTGAAATCCACACTTCAGGACGAGGACATTTTAGGAATATTATTGAAATGTACAATGCCATAAGTGTAATGACGACAGGTGCCATGCAGTGGTAGTCAAAGTCATGGATGCAAGGAATGCTAGAATGATCTTTTTTGGTACAAACAGGTGCAAAAATAAGTTTAATGCTACGGGAGAGTCAGCATCTGAATATGGTGTGTTGTTAGCATTAAGTATCGAAATATTGTTGATTGATTGATTTGTGGGGTTTAACGTCCCAAAACCACCATTAGATTATGAGAGACGCCGTAGTGGAGGGCTCCGGAAATTTCGACCACCTGGGGTTCTTTAACGTGCACCCAAATCTGAGTACACGGGCCTACAACATTTCCGCCTCCATCGAAAATGCAGCCGCCGCAGCCGGGAATCGAACCCGCGACCTGCGGGTCAGCAGCCGAGTACCTTAGCCACTAGACCATCGCGGCGGGGCTATCGAAATATTGTTGCTCAGGCCATGTTGACCTATGATTTTTCTTAATTTATGGGATTGTTTCTAGTACTGCGGGAAGGTCTTTGAAAAATAATTATCTTTGGCTTTACAAAGGGCAAAACAGTACATTTTTAGGTAGTTTTTATAAGTATTTCGTGCATCTGGCGTACCCTTACGCGTCAAGGCATCATACACCACCTTTTTTTTTTCGCTTATGCTGATATTTTCTCGTAAATCGTGGACTGTTTCTATATTTAGATATTGTGACAAGTTAAATGTGCTTAGATACTAATTTCGTGAACTAATCTCTAAAAAGAACCCAGTTGATTTCTGCAGATCAGGTAACAAATTGGGGCATCAGGATGTTATTATAAAGGATTTGTAGTTCGGCATTATTACAATCGTAATTAGCTCGCTTATAGTCACGAATATGTTTCCTCAATACACCATATAAGAAAGCAGAAAGTTAATAGTTATTGAAGAAATTTGTGGTCACTGAGCCCATCTTAGTTATTGCTACTCACTGTATCAGCAGCTGTTGTAGAGATGAGGTCTAGTATATTGGGACAACGGTAGGTTGAGTAGCTACTTGGAATAGGTTGAAATTTAAAGTGAGGTCACTGAGGCTTGATAAAACAGTACATGGGAATGATAGCAGTGTACAGACAATCTGCGGAAAATTGAAGCCACCGAGAAAATAAGAGACATCTGTCTGAAAAAGCTCAAGTGCTTTCGCAATGCTTTCAAGCAGCTTGTCCGAGAAGGAGTTATCGGAGTACGATGTTCGGTAACAATTGACTATCAATAGTTTAGTGGAAGATGTAATGCAAACGGTCCATACAGTTTCCAGATTAAAATCTGCATTGATAGCAAATGCTGTTACCGACTTTTTAATGCCAAGCAGAACGCCTCTCCCTAGCAATCCAGCCTGTGAATATTATACGAGTTCAAAGCCTAAAAGAAATTCGTAGCCATAAATGTCAGGGCGTAGCTCAGTTTTGGTGAAAGCGATTTTGTCAGCATCAGTGTCCCCTTGGAAATCTAAGGCTTCAGCCCACCTAAGTATTATACTCCGAATATTAGTCAATGATATTGACAAGGGGAGCGCATGATAGCAGGTTTCGGTTGTATCAAGACTTGGGCATGTTCACTGGTCATGAGTGACTGATAAAACTGCACGACACTTTCAGTAGTCACATTGTAAATATGGGTTTTTAAATTCATGCGCAGTTTGTTAACTGACAACTTGTACTTTTTGTTTTGCCATATTGCGAAACTTAATAGTTTTGCCGTGACTTTCTGAGTTCCCGGCAAAACATCTTCGTGTATCACACAGCTTGTTTCCTTAAAATAAGGCCCCTATGACAGTATGAGTGCTTTGTCTTTGAAATAGGCCCAATTGGCAATAATGGCCGTGGCTTTTCAGGGATATATTTTCCTAGACAATGGGCGCTGTTACGAGCGTGATGAAGTCTCTTACACCGACCCTGAGTGCATCTGTCACGGGCTCTGGGTGTGTCCACTAGACACATTGGTGGTGGTGGTGGAAAATATTTATTCAGAAAAGCACGGAGAGTGGCACTGCAAATGCACTTGGGTGGTCTCCTCATTCCAGAAGTCCACTTGAGGTTATCGCTGCTAGGGCGCAGGACATCAAGAAGCGCTGATTGTCCCGAGTGGAGCAGCCGAGCCGAGAAGGAACGCCTTTCAAGCCTCTTTTGAGGGTAGTGGTAAGGAGAATGAAAAAAGAAGAGGTATGACTGGGCATACTGCAATCATGTGGTAGGTGTCGACCGGTAGCTCACAATGCACGCAGTAGCCGTATATACCCGGCATGAAATGCCGGGTGGCTGCAGGACACAAGAAGGTGTTCATCTCCAAGCGTCTCTGAAGTCACTCGTCTGCTCTAGAAAGACCCGTGCAGTTTTTGGGTAAAGACAACACGACCCCACGAGTTCCGACAGTAATCGAAAAAACGCTGTAGTGCATGGGAGACGAGCTGCGTGGGGTAGATGCGGGGTCGGAAGAGGTTACGGCCCGAGAGAGAAAAACACAGGCAACGGCATGAGCCGCGTTGTTTGCTGTGAGACCCGCATGGACAGGAGACCATACTATGCGGATTGAGTGAGGTTCAAAGCACCATGAGGCCGCCTGGAGAAGGTAGGCTGCCAGAGGAGCTATGTTTCTATGCAGGTATCGGAAACAGGCAATGCGCGAGTTCGTTATGATCACTCTGGCTGAGTGGTCAGACGCGGCCAAAGCGATAGCTACCTCTTCAGTCCGAGTTGCATCGGGTGAGAGGAAAGAAATGCCGTCAATGTAGTGACCTTCTAATATCACTGCGGCCGTAAAGTGCCCCGAGGAGGTTGAGCCTGAGACATCTACATAGAAGACACCAGGAGTGTCGGAGTATACAGTGTGGAGATATTGTGTTATTGTTGGGCTAAGCGTCTGCCTGTGTGTTCAGTGGCATCCATAGTGTGAGGAAGAGGCGCGACCCAAAGTTTTTGCCGTCACAACTCCAGAACAAAGGAATCGGGTAGTGGAATATGGATTGAATTCAGCGATAGCCTGTCCAGAGCAGCGTTCAGAAACCGTCTGGAACAGGTGGTTGATTCGATTGGTGCAATAAGCCTCCCGCAACTCGACATACAAGTTGTGCACTCCCAAGGCCGCAAAGCGACGATTGCAAGTTGCAATGGGAAGGTCCAGTGCTCGCTTATAAACAGATTGGAGCAATGCGTCCATCTGGTTCTCGTGGTGGCGACGCAAGCAAAGGTATGGGGTAGAGTAGAAGATTCGCCTGGTTACAAACGCGGGAGCCAAACGAAAGAAGTGCCGACTGCGAAGACCGCCACGTATGGTAGAGACCCGCCTAATTGTATGGCTAAGCTTCTCACTAGTGCGCCGAAGACGTGCAATAGTAGAGCCACGGTTCATAGTCGAAGAGATGCAGAGGCCCAATATGCGGGATTAGGCGACAACCGGCATGGGGCCATATAGCAAAGATATCTGAGGTGGTAGCTGAAGTGAGACCGAGAGAAGAGATGATGATAGGAGAACATCCCAAGCCGCATAATAAGGCGTGTCTACATTAAGTGCCCGGTGCTGTACGCAGTCTTCAATTTCTACACAGGTGCCCCAATTGGCTCAGATGGTATAAAATATCATCATCAAACGCCGGAAGAAGAAGAAAGAAGACTGCTGCCTGGAGCGAGTGTGCGCTACTTCAATTCTTCTAATAAACCATATTCGTTCGAAGCAGTCCCTGGTCTCGATCATCCTAATAATGGTGCCGTGACCAGGATACTACCTCCTCACCGGCAAGAAAGGTCAACCTGCCACAAAGCAGCAGAGAAGAAAACGGCGGAGGAGCAGAGGATCGACCTCGATCGAGCGACGAGACCACGGTGGACAGTACGAGCACCAGAACGAACGATTGACAAGTAAGGAGTCATTGTTAACCGCCTCAATATGAGCAAAGAAGTGATAACGAAGAAAAGGAAAGCGCTTCCCTCCCAGATCACGCGACTGATTAACGCAGCCGAGCAGCAAATTAATGATGGAGCTAACCGGGAGCAGCTGCTTACAATGCAGGCGCAGAATAAAGCAATAACCGACAGTCTCAAGAGCGCCAACGAGCAAATGGAAAAGTTTCTAACAGAAGACAATGCCGAAGCTGAATTCGAAAGCGTCATAGAGTACGACATGAAATTAACGACGATCTTATCTGCAGTAGAAATCAGACTTCGACAGCCTGAACAATCGAATTCAAGTAATAGGACAAGGCAGGTGACGCCCTCAAGTACAGGACCAGAAGCAACGGAACTAGTTAAGCTACCAAAGCTTGAAATGATATAGTTTGGGGGAA